GTCATATTCCCATATATCATTGTGATGCTGTTTATTCTATTACTCTCGTTCTCTTCTGCTTGTTTTCTTTTTTCTTTCTCAGCAGGTGACCCAGGTGATCGATATATGCATTTTTTTGTCTGCTTATTTAGTTGGTTTTTGTTTTTTGCCCTCTATCCCCGCCCCTCTGCCCCGCTGTTTTTCTTTCCCCAGTCAAGTCTGTCCCGTATTTAACAGGTGAAAATAAAATAAACAATAAAAGGTGAATCAAATAGATTACGGCGAGGCTGGGATGGTCCATCTGCTAACGTAGATCCGTTGGGCATCTTTCCTCGTCTTTAGACGATAATTCTGATGGGAAAAGAACCAAACGGGACAGGCGGGAAACAAACAAACAAAAGATGACGATGCAGTGCTCTGATTGGTCAGGTGTTTACTCGTGTAAAACGCTGAAACAACCACGTGTGACCCACCAAAGTAACATGAACACGTTAAAGCTTCGTGCTGATCCTCAGGTACGACACCTGGACTCACCTGAGTGTTGGGAACATGGTTAGTGATGGCAGTCTCGCACGTTCCCGATATTCCCACGCTCCATGCCGTGTTAGCTCCTGATTGGATGAATCAGTGACTCCTACTGGCGACTGATTTACAGGTGTTCAGTCAGCTGATGCCTCCCTGCAGTCTAACCTGACGTCTCTCGCTCTCTCTGTCAGCTGGTGCGCTTCGTGTTCAGGCAGACCTTCGAGGTGCTGAGGAGGCGGAGCTGGGACAGCAGGTAAGGAGTGGACACAGGTTTGTTCCCCGGTCATTTGCTGTGGCTCTGCGGGCTGTGACTGTTTCCTGTCTCCTCAGCGCCGTGTCTCAGTTCTTGGAGCTGCTGACGGCTCAGCTGCTGCAGAGCGACGCCGCGGCGCCGAGCGGCCTGCAGCTCCACGTCCTCGACCTTTACCTGACTGAGCTGGCGGTCATGGGAGCGGCAGAGGTAACGCTCAGGTCACAACGTGACATCACTCACCGTACTGTTAAATCAAAGAAACGACCTCTGACCTCGCCTGTGAGCTGTTGGTTGTAATAGCACCGTGGACCACAGAGGGGTGCAGTGAGTCGGCAACAGCGGGAATAACCTCTGCTTCCTGTCCGCAGCTCACCGCCGATCAGAACCTGACCCTCATCGAGCCGTTCTGCAGAACCGCGGCGAGAACCAAAGAGTGAGTCTGTGAGCCAATCAGCTCGCTTCTGTGAACAGCTCCCTCTAAAGCAGGAAGCTGATGGATCTGCTGTCTGTAACTCTGCTGGTGCCCCTCCCCCCTCTGTGCCCCCCGCAGTCGGACTCTGCTCAGCGGGATCTGCAGCAGCGTCTTCAGCACCATCATCAATCAGGCTCCCTTCGCCATCGATGACCTGATGAAGGAGGTGAGGGCGTCTGAGGACTCGGGACAGGCGTCTGAAGGGGACGAGGAGGAGGAAGGAGATGAAAAGTCGATGAAGATGGAAGCAGGGAGGAAGCAGCTTAATGGTAAGTGAGCGGAGGAGAAACAGGAAGTGCAGACGTGCGTTTGGTGCTGGTCTTTGTTAAGCAGGTGACAGGTGTGCTTACCTGTGTCCGTGACTCCGCCCTCGCTGCTCTCAGGCACTGATCCCTGGTAACTCTGCTCCGCGGTACCTTCATGATTTCTGACGTGCCGCTCTTCGGCGTCAGCTGATTGAAGGCAGCGCGAGACTTTCTTCCGATTTTATAGAAACGTGTTAAAATAACGTAAACGAAGCCCGAGGCAGTGACGCCGTCTCCACACGAGGAGGCGGTCGAACGAGGGCGCCGCTGCACGAGAACATGTTAGCTGTGATAAGGAACGTGGCGAGGAGGAGGCTGCGGTCTCTGTCTGAGCT